ACAATGTTGTGTGGCACGGACATCGATGATGGCAGGCGAGCAATCGTGGAGGCCGTTTACGTGTGGAGACGACGATGTGCAAGCGACGACACATGAGGGTGAGGTCTACGCCCGCTACTGTGGACGATCTTGGCGAGGCACTCTATTTATATAATCCTGTTGCGGGTTGTTGGGCGACGACGACACGCGTGAGCACTGCCCCTCCATTTCCTTCGGCATACATGGACAGGCGATAGCAACACGTCTGTCGCGAATGTGGTGTAGCAGGTTGTGAGCATCCACCAGCTCGTATGCACCCACATCGCAAACCCCGATTGTCGCCTGATCTGCAGTCGTCCACTTTGGAATTCATTGGTCATTGCGGAAGACAAACGGGCCCCGCGAGGTGGCCCGCGCAAGTGCCATCGTCCACCACCCCACCACACCCCACGCTAGACGCACCCCGCGCGACTGCTAGCAAAGACAACCCCAGCCACCGTGCCCCGAGGAAAATAGGGCATGTACCCGCACATGCCCTCCGCGCCCACCCCGAAGACACTCGCATTCGCAGAGCAACTATGCACCCCCCCCCCCTCCCCTCGCAACCCCCCATCCACCACCTGGCACCCGCCCTATTTCATCGAGGTGTCCCTCTCTTGCACCAACAACATCGCTTACCAAATATTCCAATATGCGTGTGTGTGTGCGTGTGTGTGTGTGTGTGTGTGTGTGTGTGTGTGTGTATGTGTGTGTGTGTGTGTGGCCGAATAGCACCGTTTTCTTTAGTGAAAGGCCGAATAACAGATAATATTAATGACCAAAAATAGTAGACGTCATATACTGCAAAACGTGTCAGCTACGTAGGAAGCATGAATGTTCGCTTCTGCCTCTTGCGAAAATTGCGGACATCCATACTCCAACCGGAGGACAACATTGAAGACCACACCTTTGTGCGTCAAGAGGCATTTATGACGGCATGCATTTTCCCTCTGCCACTCCTAGGTTCGTGCTGATTAACTGGCAATTCAACACCTTTATGTGGCATCCATGCACGACCTCATCATTCCTTTATGTGACAGAAAATGCCAAGGACGACGGAGGAGCACGACAGGAGGATTGCTGTTCATGGGGCGTCCACAGCGACAGAAGACGATGCAAGCGGCGAAGGCCAATCAATAAGTTCCCCGGGCAATATCGTGAACGACAGGATTGCATGTTCTACCTCTCCCGTATAGCCTTCACTATCTCCAACAGTGCTTGGCACATGAGCTTGCTCACATCGTCGGACGCCGCGTAGTGCTTGCACCTCCACCTCCGCTTCCATGCCTTCTCATTGTCGAAGTCAAATGGAACACTGCCTCTTGCTAGCGTTCTCCATCGTCGTCGACATTAGCGTCCCGTGCTTCTCCATGCACTTTGTGAGAGCTTCGAAAGTCTGCTGCCTAACGTTTTCCTTTTCCCAAAACCGCCAGTGTTGCTTGTAGTTGGTGAAGACTCTTTCGTGGAGCTCTCGTCTTCGTCGTTGCTGTTGGCACCCGCGTCCCCATCACCTACAGATTCAGGGCCGCCTGAAAACCCGGACGACAGTTGCACACCACCGGAACCGCCTGTGTCGGCTACATTCTTCGGGTGTATGGTGTGACTTTTTATGGTGGGACCCTTCATCTCCTCATACACGGCCCGATCCATGGTGAAATTGAAGCCATGAGAAAACCTCTCCTTCCCCGTCAATTGAAAGAAGTTCTGTTTCCCGGACTCCCCCTGGAACAGGTGCACCTTCTTGAACTATTGCATCAAGTTGTCCCATTTCTTCTCGCATTTTTCGGTTGTCCTCTCCACGCCAACTTTCTTCAGCCTCTCTTGAACATCCACACACTTCCATTTCGTCAGCGAATGCGAGTGTATGCGTGGCCCATCCCCTACAGATGCACATCTTGGTCCCACTTCACCCTGATGAGGGCGACCATGTGGTCGACAGTTTTTTGGTCCGCGTTCGGCCTAAACGGCCGAACGCCTCCCGAAGGGGTCCCGTACGTTCGGGCGTTCGGCCCCTCCCGAACGCCGACAACCCTGATTATTTATTTATTTTAATTTTTGATTTTTAATTTTTAATTTGTTATTAAGCTTTATAATTTTATTATTTTATTACTTTATTATGATTTTATTATTTCATTATTTTATTATTATTTTTTTATTATCTTATTTTTATTCTTTATTTTTATTTTTAACTCTTATTTTTTGTTTTTAATTTGTTATTAAGCTTTTGCTATTTTATATGCTTGTGTGTGTGTGTGTGTGTGTGTGTGTGTGTGCCGGGGGGAGGGTTAGGAGGACCTCCCCCACCAATCAATCAATCAATCAATCAATAAAAAAACTAGGCTACCAGAGTGGCCCGGGGTCACTTGCCCGGCCGGGCCAAAAAGATAAAAAATATATATATTTTTTTAAATTTTATTTTATATTTTAAATTTGGTAAAGAATTTCGATGTGAGCCTGAGGCAAAAGTTGTTTAGTTTATTTTTTTACATAACATAGTATGTTTTCAGAGTTTTTGAATTTTTTGTTTTTTGCTGGGACCTTCCCTTGCCCTTGAACGGGCTGGTAACCCGGGACCCGGGCGGCTCGGCTGGTAGCCTAGTAAAAAAACAATAAAGCAATCATTATTTAGTTTTTTTTCTATTTTTATTTAATTTTTTTTCCACACACAAAAAACGACCCCCCGAAACATTTTTTTTTTTACTTTTTTTTTCCAAGGGGGTAGGGTCAGGGTTCTGGAACCCCATTCCGCAACCCCGACCCCCACCCCCCTCTCCCCTCGGCCGCTGTGGGCCACGACAGCCCGCGGTCGCGGCCGAGGTGCCCGCGGTTGCAGGTGTTTCATAGGTCGGGGGCGCCTCGCAATGTCGAAGAACGCAGTCGGCGGTTGATGCCACTTGATGGGCGTCGGTGGGTTGCTGGCCCAATGCTTGTGCGGCTCGTGGCACACGGCGGGAGGGGACGACGTCCCATGTGGAGAGGGGGGGATGTGCTGGCGTGCACTTGCGTGGGCGTGGTTGTGAATTTTAGACGACATCCTGGATTGTCGTGTTTTCGCGTTGTGTGATGGATGGAGAGAGAGAGAGAGAGAGAGAGAGAGAGAGAGAGAGAGAGAGAGAGAGAGAGAGAGAGAGAGAGAGAGAGAGAGATGTGTTCATTGTTAAATCGACGACACAATTTTTTAGGTTTCCACGACAGGAATTTGGTGTGTTTGCAGTTGCATCCGTGGGGTCTTTTTGCGATCGTGATGCACGTAATACCACCTTTGTGATGTGTGCTTTACGTCGGTGTTCGTTATGCATGTGATTGTGTGAGTATCTTGTGTTGTTCGTGTGGACTGCACCTTCACCTACGTGCCTGGTGAGGACAAAAGGCAAGGGAAAATGACTGGTTTTGAGCACTGGATAATCAGTCAAAACGTTTTTCAGAGCTTTAAGTATGAGGGCTATGTTACATGAAGGTGTCCAACACAAAGAATGTCCTGCCTAGTCAGATGGATGAGCTATGTTTGAATGCCACGTCCCATGTCGACAACACAGACATCACATGCATTGCAGCATTAGGCATCGAATGTCTGTCGTACGGCACACGACCATCACACCATCCACACGCACGCCACAATAGATGTTAAATCAGAGGCGATTGTAGTGCTAAATCGCATGGGAAATTTTCGAGAAACACACACACGAACGCAAACAAGAAGGTGCACATGCACGCTTGGGAAGCACAGCGACCCCCCTACACAATGTCACCACGTGTTGTACCATACAACCAAAAAAGAAGCAAAAATTTCGACATTCAACAACATCACACACCATCCACACGCACAAGTTTCGAAAGAGCAAAGCACATCATGAAAGGGTGTCCAAACAATGAGCAGACTATCCTGTGCAAGAGAAGTATGTTAATCGGATGTCTTAAAAGGACACAATTGTCCACACACTGGCACACAGGGGTCGGATACCATGTGCGGAATTCAAAACGAAGAAATCTCAAAATGCGACAAAGAAAAGTAACCAACGACACATGGCTGCGACGATCATCTACGAAAAACGGCAGCCCGTGACACGCGTGTGGTTCCTGGCGTCCCACGATGCCCACACAAGACTCCATGTCCACTACGACGAGGCAACACACTACCCACACGCTGATGTGAAAAACGACACAGGCGACGACGTGTGATGAGGAATCTCTTATACACATCTAGATGTGTATAAGAGACAGGGAGTGCGACACGTAGATAAGTGCACACTATTATTGTAGGCACTGGCTACCTTTGGGAGCATCTCCTCCCAGTTGATCTGATCGGGCCTAATGTACATTCTGAGAACTTGTTGTAGGAGTTTGTTCATCTGTTCAGTCTGACCATTAGTCTCAGGGTGACAACCAGATGACATTAACAACCTAGAGCCATA